TTTATTACAGATATAATAATGGCCTTATCGCAGTGCAATACTTGCTACCACTAATGGTACTTACATGTGCATACTATCGTGTCGGAGTAGTTTTACGAAGGGATCAAGCCGTCGGCGACTCGCGGCATGCGAAATCTATAGCGGCGAAAAGAAAGGCAAGTTTTCGTTGGGTATTTGCTTGATAGTGAGTTCGCACACTATGCGCGGTAATCAACGACACCTCTCATAATGACTCCTCAGCAAAAGCTTATCTAACGGGACAAAATCTAGAAATCTGTACTTCTAGCCAATACATATCCAATCAGATCAAGAAAGGAAGCGAGATAGAATCACTGAAAAAGGCCTTATTTTTTGCAAAACGTCAGGTAGTGCGCATGGTGTGCAATACGCATATTAGGTTACAAATATTTAATGACTATTGTATGCGTGTGGAAAACATTTATGAAAAAGCAATCAGAAAAAGGGCTTGAGGCACAAGCTGAATACCTCCCCAAAAATATGACAACCATTTCGTTCCCGTTTTGCAACTGGCTACAGTAGTCTTACAGTAGAACTACAAATACTTACAAACTGTTCATTATATGACAATCGCAACCTTCAAAACTATCCTAGCTTGATCGGCATGCCGAAAAATTTGTCCATTAGCAAGCCAAAAAGCGCTGATGAAACCAAGCCTTCGGGGTAAGAATTCAAAGAAAATCAATAAAATCGATTACATTGAAAGGATAACACGAGTCGGTTGCCAGATAATGTCGGTTAAAGTGATAGAATAGAACTGCCTCTTGACGGAACTTCTGTGAAAAACCTCCAAAAATGTTTTCTAGGCCGCATTCATGCTAGCCTTGGTGGTCTTCATTTTTATGATAGTATGGCTACCTTACAATGCCTATTTTCTGCTCAGTAGTATACTACCTCTTCCAGAGAATAGAAAGGTGAGTTCTTCATAAGCATTTATTCACAATCTGTCTCAATGACACTGTCACCTGCTTGTGCGACCTCAGATGCCGCGGCCGCCTGCTTGAACCGTGCGTCGCGTCTGCGGGTTATCTTCCAAGCATTTGCCACGTCCTACAAACTTCAATCGCGAGTGGAAGCTCAGGGAATACGTCGCAGACGCATAAATGATCCAAGCGAAGCGGCCGCACAAGGTCCGAGCCACGCGAGCCCGTGA